TTCATTACATCTTGGGGGAACAATTATAAATTTTTTTTTATAAATTTACCTAGGAATTTCATTATCTAACAATAATGTTTTTCCCATTTTTGTTTTTTAAAAATCGTCTTCTAAATCTTAAAACAGTAAAAGTGGGATAACGACATCTAAAATTTTGCAGAATACATTTCATTACTAAAAATCTTTTAATCATTTTCCTATATCCATAATTCCTAAATATTTTCAAAAACTTGATATGCAATGTCACCTAATAATCCACAGAATCCTCTTTGAGAAATGCTATATAAAATCAAACAAGGATAGTTATCAAGGAATTTAACAGAGAAGGCTCCATTAAGAAAGACCTGGGTTTGAGTCCTGGTTCTCCCACTAACCAACCAAATTATAATGACTAATACATGACTATCTGAAGTCATAACATTTATTGACCACCTGCTATGTAACAGGCACTTTGCGAAGGGTTTTGTGTGTATTAATTTCACTTGATCCTAGAACCCCATATGGCTGGTGCTATTAGTATTCCTACTTTGCAGATGAAGATATAGAGGCTAAGGAAGTTTTCCTGGCTTAAGCTCATAAGGCGAATCAATATGAACTTAACCTGGCCTGTGTCCACTCTACCGATTGAGTTCCCACCCTCCTCCTCTGGCTGTTGGAGACCTGGTTCCCTCACAACCTCCATCCCACCCCCACGACTAGCTTCCCTAACACTGGGCTACTTCTCATTCCCAGGCTTAACACCAATTCTAACACTCATCTCTCCTCTTCACCCTTTATGTTTTCCCCCAAATGCCACTTGTTCCAGGAAGCCTTCCTTGTACTCCATTATACACTCTCTTCATTATATATTCTCTTCATTCAAGTGCACATTTTCATTGAGAAAACTTATAGGAATTAGTTCTTTTTGTAACTCTGAGTTCATTATCCATCTCCCTCGCTAGACTGAGGCTCCAAAGTGTCCTCACATCTGTATTTCACCCAACAACGTGAATAAGTGACTCATTAACGACATGTCATTCTCAATTCTTTAGTCAGCAAAATGGTCAGTTCCTATTAGCTCATTTCTAAACCAGTGGCTTTCAGCATGACAAAAGGGAAGCACAAAAGATGCATGAAACTGCTACATTAAACTACAGGACTTTGGGTGGGTGACCTTGAGAAGGAGTGGGTTTTGAAAGTCATTCCATTCTCTGTTCCTTTTAGAACAGAAGCTTGAATCCATACACACCATTTCTGCTAAGAGAGTTAGTGGATGGCTGGGAGGGCATTTACACACCTTTTCCAGCAACATGAAGCTTTAAGTCCTTGGAACCGTCCCCAAACAAAAATTTGGTCTCAGCCCCCTAGCTTCTCCCACCCTGGTGAGTCAGGTAGAAGAGTGGGGTAAGTGGTCCTAGAGGGTGTTCTTCTAAAGTTCACGTTCTCCTGTAAGGCGCTCCATTGCCTCAGTTTACATGGCCAAATAAAGGAAATTCTGCATCAAAGCTTGTATTGAAAATTCATAATACAAATGAGTACATTAGTGAGGCTGGGAGGTCCTGCAGGGAGAAAAAGTATCTATTTCATTTTGTTCAGTTCCTAAATTTATTTGGCCATGTTTAGTCATAGCATGTTGTCTTGGATTAGACTGCACCAGAATCAGACCCTGAGATAAGGATTTAAGTACAAGAAGGTTTATTTAGGAGGTGAATTTATAAAAAGCCTCAGAAGCGGGGAAAGGAAGTGAGCTTGGAAAGGGAAGAAGGCCAGTCCAGGGGGTGTTAATGAACCTCCAAATTCACCTTTGGGGGCAACTGGAACTCTGCCTTGCTGGGGACACATGGGGCGGGCCCACCACAGAGGTGATCTGTCTCAGGAGTGAGGACGCTGGATTTTATTCACCAGCACTCATCGGTCACACACTGAGGGCTGCTTTGAGGGCCACTAGCTCCCTTCTACTTCCGGCCTGCTCTGCATGGCATCTAGAGAAAGATGGCAGGCAAGGATTAGCAGGTGCTCACAACAGACCACTGGTTGTCATACACAGGAACTGTGAGTGCCACGGGGAGATGGGTGCGAGCATATCTTCCACACCGGTGTCCCTCTTTACTTTTTGCTTTTTCACATAGGGCCCTCATTCATACCTGGTGGAAATAGTACTTGAGGACCAAAATTGGTTCACCGAGTTCCCAGAAGCTACCCTCTAGCTGAACACATGGAGTCAATGCTATGCTATAGTTGTAAAACCCCAAAGGGAATTCCTGAAATGCCACCAAATACCAAACATATAAATCTCCAGGCTCAGCAGAAAGAGCCTTGGGAGATCATAACTTTTGGGATGCTACATCAAAAAGCCACCTACGGATCCAAACTTAGAATCGGGTTCTCACTCAGGCTGTCTGCGAAAGAGAAAAGTTCTCTTTCCCACAGCCAAGGGCACAGCGGATGCTGTACTAACAGTGTCCTATGTATGGTGATGGCAGGCTGCATCTACAAGAAGCTAGGATTGTCATATGGAGGCACAGAAAAAGACACAGAGCTCTGAGGACCCCACTCGTATGGACTGTCTTACATTCTAGCAAAGTCAGACAATACAATACCAACAGACCAACAGAGAAAATGTTCAAGATGGTGGTAAAGGTTATAAGTCATTTAAAAGGAGAATGGGAAAAAGAGTAGCTGGGGAAGAATTACTTAAGGCTGAGTGATCTGGAATGGCATCTTTGAGGGGTAGAATATGACCTGACACCTCCTTGCTTCAGTGGAGGAGAGAGAAGGGGATTTCAGGACAGAAGAGCAAGTTCAAAGGCCCTGGGATGGGAATTTGATTGGGGTATTTAAGGACAGGGGCCTGGAGCACTCTGAATGAAGGGTAGAGTACTAACAGTAAGGTTGGCAAGGACGGTTATAGCTGGAGCATGCTGGGTTGAAATTTGGTGTGTTTTTCCATCTGTTTCACTGCTCTTAAGGAAGAAAAAAAAAAAAAACCCAAAGCATCAGAAAACATTTGCTGCGTACCAAATGATGCTCCCATGTTCCAGATTTCTGAGAAAACTAAGGAAATTCATCGAATTCTATCTCCAGGCAGCCATCCTAATGGTCTCATCTCATTTTTCAGCATCTCTCACCGAGATCTCAAATGGCCTCACAGATTAAAACCAGCCCCTAAAAGCTGAATGCTGACCTGCTCTTCCAAGGTCTTATGTCCCAGTCCCAGAATGCAATAATGTACAGAAACAGGGCACAGTGTTGCTAGGACCCACTTCTTGCTGGGAGGAAGTCTGCTGGGTCTATGCCATCTGGTCTAACCAATGGCTTCAGTTCAGCCCCTTGAGGCATACCCAGGATGGCCCCTTCTGGACTGCCATTCACTGACTCTGTATGAGGGATACCCAGTGGTGCAGCCACAAGGCTCACTCAGGTTGTCCCCTGAGGACGATACTGTGGAGTCCATCTCAGGACTTTGTAAGGCTTTGTAAGGCAAGAGAAGGCTGCTTCTTCACTCTTGGCAAAGCCAGGGGCAGGAGATGAGGGGAAAGAAGAGGACAACTCTTGGCCTTTGGGGACAGGGACATCACAACGGAGGACTCTGTCATCCTGCAGGAGCCGGGACAGACCTCAGTTTTATCCCACAGCTGGTTACTGGGCACCAGATGGACGCAGACAGAGCAGGGCTCTCCTACGGAAGTGAGTAAAGCCTGGGCCCTGCCCTCAAGGGGCTACCCTGGAAGAGACAGAAAGCTGGCTACTCCTGGTCATACCAGGCAGAATGAAAGCAGGGGCAAAAGGGATATTCAGAGAACTTCAGGAGAGTACGGGGAAGAGAAATTAATAAGCTCACTGCCTTTCTTTGGCTTGACTTTATGGCTCCCTTGTCACACTTATGGCTCAGGCTTTTTTAACTAAGGGAAAGGTGACAGTACATCAGGCAACAACAGAGCACTATTGTCAAGAGATGAGGGGAAGTGAGAAGGACAGGAAAACAGTTCATGAAGAGCTGGAACAATATCCTCTATTCTGCAAAATGACACAGCTCTGAGGGCAAGGTCCTGAGAGATCTTCTCACAAGAGGGTTCTCTCTCCCACTCTCACTGCCTTCACCTTGTGCTTCTGCTGTTCCCTCTGCATCTGGGTCTTTCTCTCAAGATCTTGTTTTTAACAGACCCCCTAGACAGACAGTCTGTTGGGTGTGAAGATCAACTCTTCCACTTACACTTAACCTTGGGCAGGTCGCTTCACCTCTATGTGCCTCAATTTCCTCATCTGTGACAGGTGGATATTAAGAGGACCTACCTTAAATGGACTTTGTGAAGGTTAAATTAGTTAATACACAGAGACAGAATGACGCTATTTCTACCATGAGGCTGGGGTTCCCTACCTGTGGTCAGGGTAGTAGGCTCTCGTGGACAAAATGGCTCTTTACCAATTCCATTTACTTGGAAGGCAACTAGGGATATTAGAAGTGCAAGGTCTCCTGAATGCTTAGAATCTCTTAGATTCCTTTCTTCTATATCACAGCATGTTTCAAAACAAATTTTAAAACTTACTTCCTATCATAAAATAATACAGGTTCATTAAAAACTGTTTAAGAAGAAAAAAATGGGGCACCTGGGTAGCTCAGTTGGTTGAGTGACTGCCTTCAGCTCAGGTCATGATCCTGGAGTCCCAGGATCGAGTCCCACATCGGCCTCCCTGCTCAGCAGGGAGTCTGCTTCTCCAGCTGACCTCTTTCCTCTCATGCTCTCTCTCATTCTCTCTCTCTCTCAAACAAAAAGTCTTAAAAAAAAAAAAAAAAGAAAGAAAAGAAAAAAAATAGTCCAACAAATAGCAGATGAAAATTACAGAGTAGAGGACATATGATTTAAGGGCAACTCTCCTGACCATAAAGTAATCCTGCTTAAGCCATGTGGTTTGTACTGCGCTGACCTTGCTGCAGGACTGGGCCAGCAGACTGGGCTGACTCTCTCCTGGGACTTCTGCTGGAGCTACTGAAAGACACTCTTTTCTTCTGGGACCCACAGGACAAAGGATGAATATGTTTGAAGATTCTGATGGTGAAGACTAGAGAAGAAAGCAGATTCTAGCTTTCTGGGAGAATAGAAAGAAACATGGAAAATGCAAGCTCTCCAGGGACAGGTGAGGACCTAGATCCAGCAATACCTGAAACTATAACATTTATTTATTGGCCAAAAAATCACATGAGCCAATATATTTCTTCTATAGATTCTTTTCACTTCAACTAGTTTCGGCTGAGATTCTGTTAGTTGTAAATGAAATAATTTTGACCAACCATCCAGAAATAACCACATTTGCATGTATGTATACTTCCTTCAAGTCTTTCTTTCTCTTTCAAGCTCTCTGCATAGTTTTTTTTGTTGTTGTTGTTTTGTTTTGTTTTGTTTTTTAATGAGAGGGGATCTTAACCTACAAATTTTAATATTTTTTTCCTTCCTGATCCTGTTACAAAATTTAGTATTTCTGGTTAGCATCTAAGTCTTTTTGAGAGAGGACAGAAGAAATTCTGCTGCCCCCACACCCTCCCCTGTTGCTCTTCTGCCCCCTGGAAGGTATTTCAGAGGGCAAGGGGCTATCCTATGATATTCGTGGATTGGCAGCTCCTTCCATGCTCCGTTCTATAGTACCGGGCTGGAGACCATCAGCTTTGATAGAGACTTTGGCCTTAGGTCAGCTTGGACTCTTGCCTAGTCTTTCAAAGCACTTTCCTTTTAAAGCCTCCAAACCCAGCATTTTCCATAAACATCTTACTGCCTTCTTTTTTTATTTTAAGTAGAGAGAAATTCAAGGGTGAGCATGCTGTATATTAATGGTGGTCTAGAGACTAGCAACATGGACCAGAGTTTCAGGAATCCAAAAAGAGATGCCCAGAATGCATTTGACTGCCAAAGAACCATTTGGGGCATAATTGAAAATTGAAATGCTGTGATGACATGGTCGAAATTATACCTGCGATTCCTAAAGAAAATCAGAGGTGGAATAGCCTTTGCTCTGTAATTGGCATGCTCAGATAACGCGGACTGCAGAACATTTGCTAGTAATTCTGCTGCTGGCTTGCTTGGCTTATAGCTCAAAAATAACAGTGAAGTTTGTTTTGCTAATCTCTCCTCTGGATTTGTGAATTATTTGTTTTCATTATCTTAAACATAAACTGGAAAGAAAAATCCAACGCAGGGGGAATTTTTATAAGACAGAACACTCGCGTTGTCTTTGGATATGGATGCCACACTTAATTTAATAAAAACCAAAGCAGACCACGTTGGAAGCTCTAACAGAGGAATGTGTTTATAATGAGGGAAGTGCCATAGGTCAGAAATCAAACATGGGCTTTGAAACTGTGGATTACGGTCATACCCACTGTTTCTTATTCTGCGGGGCGCTTCTGAGCAAGTCACATCAGCTTCCCGGGTTGTGACTGCCCTCCTCTACCTCGAGCAGCAGCAATCATACCAGCTCTGCCCATCTCAGAGGCAGTGAAGAACTCAGGAGATCTTAGAGGATTAAGATTTCTTTTACAAACACAAAACTATAACACTGTTCTAATATTCAGATAATGTTCTCTAGAATTTTTTTTAAATTTATTTATTTATTTGACAGAAAGAGATCTCAAGTAGGGGGGGAGGCAGGCAGAGAGAGAAAGAGAGAGAGAGAGAGAGAGAGAGGAGGAAGCAGGCTCCCCACTGAGCAGAGAGCCCAATGCGGGGTTCGATCCCAGGACCCTGGGATCATGAGCTGAAGGCAGAGGCATTAACCCACTGAGCCACCCAGGCGCCCCTGTTCTCTAGAATTTACAGAGAGCTCACACATCAAACAGACGATGTTGTTGTAATTTTGAGCCATCATCCCCACTCTGTAGATTACAGATGTCAGCTACTGGAGTAGAAAGAGATTCAGTCTTAGAGTCAGGGAGTCAGAGAGTTTAACCTCAGTCCTGGCTGTGTGACCTTATGCAAGTTAGTGACCTCTTTGGTCTTGGATACATCCTGTATGCAAGGGGGATGAAGAAACACCTGACACCTGCCTAGCTGCCTGCAACCTTTCTGCTAGAGAGCAGGAAACATATGTATATACAGTAAGCAGTCCCAGTCAAGTATGAAGGTCAAATAGGCTGATAGACGAGTACAGCAATTATAATAACATTGTAATAGCTGTTTTTTTTTTTTTTTTAAACCAATGTCTCTGCCTTGGGTGCCATTCTAAAACCTTTACATGCATGAGATAAGGGACGCTTGTAGCAGTTCTGTGAGGAAAGGGCTGTCATTCTCATTTTATGGATGAGCAAACTGAGGCACACAGGGATGCAATATCTTACCCAAGGCCATCCAGCTAGTAAGCGGCCCCATTGCGGTATGGCGCAGGAAGTCTGGCTCCAGAGCCTGCCCTGGAAAACATTATACTGCATTGTATCTCTAATTGCTACTGTGTATTGAGTGCTTACTGTGTGAGCTTTTTCTTCTAAGTGGTTTACAATGATTAAGTCAACGTTCTCAGCAAACCTTGGTTAGAGTTTTAGTTTAGTTTTAAAAAAATGATGCCCAGTGAAAATTGTCAGATAAATGACAATTTCATATTATAAGTATGTCCCATGCAATATTTGGCATATACTTATGCCAAGAAAATGTTTGTCTGAAATTAAAATTGAAATTTAATTGGGCATTCTATATTTTATCTGACAACCCTACCCTGAGAGGATGTGGGAACTAACCTAGTTCCTTATACTGAGTGGACTTCAGAAAATAGTAATCTCTATCATTATTGGTATTTTCAGGTTATTCTTTCTGATATCTGCTTTCAGTTGTTCCTCTAGCCAACTAAAATCAGAAGCTATATGCATAAAGAAAATAATTGTGATATATTAATAAAATAAATTAATAGTGCTTCTGGAACTCTTTCACAGAAATTGTCTAGTGATGGAGGCTCATGGTGATCCTGTAAATATTATGCCTATTTAATAATGAGAAAACTTGGAGCCATTAAATAATTTGCCCTAGGATACAGAAATTTAAAAAAAAAAAATCTAAATTAGAAGGAGCCCATGGGTGGCTCAGTCAGTTAAACATCCAACTCTTGGTTTCAACTCAGGTCGTGATTTCAGGATCATGAGATCGAGCCCCACACTGGAGTCTGCTGAGTGTGGAACCTGCTTAAGATTCTCTCTCTCCCTCTCTCTCTGCCCCTCCCCCTGCCCAGTTCACACATGTGTCTGCTCTCTATCTTAAAAAAAGAAAGAAAGAGGGGAGGAGTCAAGATGGCGGAGAAGTAGCAGCTGAGACTACTTCAGGTAACGGGAGATCAGCTAGATAGCTTATCTAAAGATTGCAAACACCTACAAATCCAACGGGAGATCGAAGAGAAGAACAGCAACTCTAGAAACAGAAAATCAACCACTTTCTGAAAGGTAGGACGGGCAGAGAAGTGAATCCAAAGCGACGGGAAGATAGACCGCGGGGGGGGAGGGGCCGGCTCCCGGCAAGCGGCGG